AAAATAAGAATTTTTAAATAGTTGATTTGATATTAACATTGATATATAATTTTTCAAATTTTTATGATATCTTCAAATTTATATTTTATTCAAAAATAAAATCATTATTGCTTTCTTAAAAACACATAAAATCGTATTATAACATTAACAGAGACAAATAATAAAATAGAACATTAAAATCGAGATGTGTCTCGCTGCATTGCGCGAGTACTCTTCTAGTATATATATATAACTATGGCACGAAAACTGGAGACTTAACCAAATAAGTAAATCACTTAAATAAGTGTGAAATAGGTTTGTGGAAATCACTCAAATAGTCATATCATCAAGATCACAACAAATAAACATCAAAAAACTAAAAAAAAAAGAAAACATCAAGATTCAAGGAAATAAGCAAATCAGATAACTAGATGAGTAAATAAGAACCTAAGAAAAAAAATATCTTGGTTCAAGCTTGAAAGAAACTAATTGCAATTTGAGAATTGAGAGTGAGAGTCATGACCAGAGGTTAGAAGATGAGTCAAGGTGAGACGTTGAAAGACGACTGCTGAAAGCAATGGTTGGTGGTGTGCATCGTAGGTGAGGGGCAGAAGGCCAATTGTAAATCATGAGAGAAAAGGTGAGAGCGAGAGGTCAAGAGCGGTAATAGTTTTTGGGGGAAAATAAAATAAAATAATGAGCATGCTAAACCCTATATGACTATTGGACTGTGATGCCCTCTTTGCCCAAGAGTAGGGCCACTCCTTATATTAAGACTATGGACATATAGAATGTATTATTTTTAAGGTTATTGTTATATTTAAATAAAACACAAAATCATAATATAAATATAACAATTCGACATCATCTTTTATAGATTTATTATAAGTGAATGCTTACAATTATCTAATAATCGAGTTTGGGGCATATTAATAACACGTGTTAGATGCTTTGCGGGTGTAGAGCGTTAAGCCTTGCTCTTGAAGAAGAATCATAAAATTTCAAATATTATTGATGTTTTTTTTTAAAAACAAAAACCCATATGCAATATTAATTGTTGAACGTGATTAAATTTATTTCAGATAAACATATGTATATGTATATGTATGTATGGTGAGATTAAAACAAAAAGAAATAAGTTTAGAAAAAAAAGTAAGTTTAAAGATGAATAAACATATATATGTATGTATGTATGTATGTATGTATGTATGTTGCACTTGCAGCAGTTATTTTTCGATATATAAAATAACAAATTAACAAATATAGCAGGCCCGAGGGCTTGTTAGTTTTTTAAAATAACAAATTAACAAATATAGCAGGCCCAACCCAACAAACAAGTGATGTTGCCCCTGGGCCGACCCTGTTCATCTGATGAGACTCAACTCAACTCAACTCAACTCAATGGAGCAGCAGGAGCACTCATTCATCCTTTTCTAATTCTACAATCTAGAATCTGTAGTTATTCACAGACTTGACTTGCTTTCTTCAAGAAGGTCAAAGAAGAGTAGATATATTAGAAAGTAACCCCTTTCCCTTGTTTCCTCCAAATTATTTATTGTTTATTATTTAATAATCCTCTCCTCCTTGTTTCAGTTGTTTCTCATCAGGGGAATTAGCCTGCTTCATCTTCTTTCACTTTTCTTCTCATGAGCATTAATGCAACGCCTCCCATGAATTCTACTTCTGCTGATTCCCTCGAATCGTCTGTTCCTAGGAGAAATTCCAAGAGACCCAAGTGTAAATCTTCCATCATATGCTTGATTATCTCAATTATTATTACGCTTGGCATAATTTTTGTTTGTTTGTTTTCAATTTCCGTTTTTTAGATTCTAGGTTTACGCAGCAGGAACTCCCAGCGTGTAAACCCATTCTTACTCCAAGATGGGTGCGTATCTTTCTTTTCTTTTCCCTTCCCTTCCCTTATAGCCTTTATAGACCTTCAACAACTTTTTCTTTTCTACTGCAGGTGATTTCAGCATTCTTGCTTGTGACCATAGTTTTCGTACCAATTGGACTTGCATCTCTCTTTGCTTCCCGCGATGTATGCATCAACATTCCTTTCTTTCTTGCTCCTACTTAGTTACTTGTTAATCTTTCTTGTGTTCAAATAGGTAGTTGAGATTGTTGATCGTTATGACGCTGATTGCGCACCATCGGGCTCAAGAAGTGACAAAGTCCGATATATACAATCCCTTGCGGATAAAACCTGCAATAGAACCCTCACTGTAACACCCACCCTCGTTTCATCACTTTCTGGATACACATCAAATCTGATTTACTTCCTCTGTGGTTACATAATCTCTATAAATGTAATTTAGGTGCCAAAGCATATGAAGCAGCCTATTTATGTCTATTATCAGCTTGACAACTTTTATCAGAATCATCGAAGGTACATTAATACTGTCTGTAATTTAATTCCTTGAGAACAGCAAGTCTTTTGGTTTCAAACACCTATGCTATTTGTAGGTTTATTAGATGTTTATATAGCATGACTGAAATATTCTCATCACTGATTCTTTCATATTTGCCATTTCCAGCCTTAACTTACCTCCCAAGAAGAATGCAATTTACTTTCTGAGTATATATTGTATACCCCCCTCATTATAACAGTGTTTATTTATTTACTTTTGATTTTGGAAACCAACTCTAAATCAAAATTGCCATAGATTCCTTTTAGCTCTAAAATGTATTCCACAGCAGTATGTTCTATATTGTATTATAGTTTCTACATAGTTGTAGGCTTATATCATGGTCGATAAAAGTTTAATGTGGCTATTCATTTTTTTCTTCTAATGAGAAACAATGCAATCCTTGTAAACTTCAAAGTTATATAGCAACCCATTTGAATTGCTATATAGAAGGTCAACCATTGTCTATGTTTTAGGAGGTAGCTGATACTAGTTAATATTGTAATAGTATTGTATTTGAAAGGTTGGTTATTTGGTTAAGACTTATTTGTCTGTGAATGCCAGTAACCCTCCCTCCTTTCTATTTCTTCCCTTGGTGCCAACAGAGTTAATGATGCCCTCTTAATTCAAGGGTAAGCATGTGACACTTGTTATTTGCAGGTACGTTAAGAGCCGAAGTGATCAGCAATTGAGGAGCCTAAGTCATGAGGATGACACAGGTGCCTGTAAGCCTGAAGATAATGCAAATCAAACGCCAATAGTGCCTTGTGGCCTTGTAGCCTGGAGTATGTTCAATGATACCTTTAGCTTCTTCACTAATAATAATCAGCAATTGCCTGTAAACAAGAGCGGTATATCATGGAAAAGCGACAGGGATCATAAGTTTGGCAAAGATGTCTTCCCTAAAAATTTCCAAAATGGAACTCTTATTGGCGGTGCACATCTCAATGAATCCATACCAGTAAGCCTCTTAACTATTATTAATGATTTTTGGTACTTTGCTGCACTATCTCGTCCGAAATTAGGTTCAATTGGTTTGATGATTGGTAAAGGCCCCTCGATTCCCATTTTCTTCTGCTAATGCTCTGTTGAGAAAATTTGTTTCTTCCTGAATCTCTGCCTACTTCGGAAATTGTCAGAAAAGCATGTTACTTTTGGTTAGCCATCAATGAACCCTGGTTGGTCTAGAATTAGACAAGATTGTTGAAAATGCACACATATATGGTTTAATTTGTCTTGTCCTTTTTCTAGCCTGACCCTGAATCAAATATTGTAAATTATCTTCTTGTTCTTCTGTGCCTGAAAATCAATATGACTAGCTGACAAGAGCCTTATCTTTGTGGATTGGCACATATTTGTAGTTAAGTCTTCAGGAAGACCTCATTGTATGGATGCGGACTGCAGCTCTTCCAACTTTTAGGAAGTTGTATGGGAGGATAGAGGTGGATCTTCGGGCAGGTGATGTAATAAATGTGATAATGCAGAACAACTACAACACCTACAGTTTCAATGGCAAGAAGAAACTCGTGCTCTCTACCACCAGCTGGCTTGGTGGAAAGAACAACTTCATTGGCATTGCGTATCTCGCTGTTGGTGGCTTGTGCTTCTTACTAGCTATGACTTTCACCATTATATATCTGGTTAAGCCAAGGTGATTTTTGGAGTCCTGTCTTGTTGGCTGTTACTACCATGCTGTTTTTTTCCTGGAGTCTGCCTGTGTTATTGGTGTTCATTCTTGTTTTTTTGAGTATCTCGACTGTTAATAATGTTGAAAAAAGAGGCTGTGCTGGCTCAGGAATAGACCTCATGGTGATTTTACAACTCAAATCCCCCCAGATAAGTAGACAAGTAGCCAATTCTAGTAATGTTTTATGAAACAAGTAGCAAACCAATTTACTTATGAGCAAAGTATCAAAGTATAAATCTTGAATATCATAATATAGCATTGGCATAAGGTGATCATGCCTAATAAATAATAATATAAGGCCAGCATTAACGACTTGATCATCATAGGGTTCCTTTAACATCCATGTTTTCCCTTCATATAGCATAAGTAAAATATAAACTAGATGGCTAGTTTACATGATGATAGGCCAATTAAAAGCATGCATGAAAATGAAACTAGTGGTGGCATGATTTCTTTCTTTATTTGTACAACTTTTCTTTTTCCATATTACACTTGCCGTTTCAGAAAGAAAAGATTAATGAACCAGGCCAGTATACTACACTTACTCAATTGTTGCATTGAACAGCACTAATATGTTCTCATCCTCTGCTGCAGGAGACTTGGAGATCCGTCTTATTTGTCTTGGAATCGTAATCCAGGTGGTCACTGATTGATGCAGAAGTCGGTTAAAATGATATATGTTGTGGTGCTGTATGTATTCTAACGTCTGTTTCTTTTGACAATGATTCTTTGAAATGTAATTTGTGGATAAAGACTTGAGAAGAAAGTAGCAAAAGTTACTGTATTGTGTTAGAAAATAGTAAGGTAGTCTTATCAAGTTGCAAATGCCAACTTGTGACATGAAATTCTTACTTCCAACATTTTCTCCTTGGATTGTTCCGTTTTATATTATCCTTCCCTTCTCTTCTTTTACTCCACACTTACAAAACTCACTTGGCAGCCAATAACCTTTGCCATAATCTTCTGTCTGTGTCATCATAACTTGATAGAAAATATGTCATATAGTCTTTTAAATTGAAGAATCTGTCACCACCATGACCGTGTGTGTTGATGGATTGGAGGGTATAGAAACAACAAAGTTGGTCAAATCAGTTTTAGTAAGCAGATATGAAATGACTTGGTAGTTGGTATATATGCCCTTTGTTGACAATGCTGAATCCATGAGACTTGCTTTCTTTAATCCTGCTCAAGGTTTCCCTTGCATTACCAAGGGGTCAAGTTTAAGAGGTTTGCAGAGCATGGGTGACATGCGTAAGGTACCAAAAGGTTCATCCTCTTTTGTAAGTACTGTGATATGTGCACAAAAACAATGGCAAAGAATGCATTTTCATGCTCATTCCAAATTGAGTCAATTTCCAACAATACATAATCATAGCGTGAACCCCCACCCCCCACCAAAAAAAAAAACCATCTTTCTATTCTGGTAAATCAGTTTTACTAAGCTGATATGAAATGACTTGGTAGTTGGTATATATGCCCTTTGTTGACAATGATGAATTCATGGGACTTGCTTTCTTTAATCCTGCTCAAGGTTTCCCTCGCATTACCAAGGGGTCAAGTTTAAGAGGTTTGCCGAGCATGGGTGGGTGCCTAAGGTACCAAAAGGTTTTCATGCTCTTTTGTAAGTACTGTGATATGTGCACGAAAACAATGGCATTGAATGCATTTTCATTCTCATTCCAAATTGAGTCAATTTCCAACAATACATAATCATGACCTCCCCCCCCCCCCCCCCCCCCCCCCAAAAACCATCTTTCTATTCTGGTAAATCAGTTTTAGTAAGCTGATATGAAATAAGTTGGTATATATGGATATATATGCCCTTTGTTGACAATGCT